CGGCCCGCTAGGGCAGCCCTCCGGGCACTAGCGGGAGTGGGGAGGACAGTGCCTCAGAACTACGTGGAGGGGCTCCCCTGGCCCCCTGCTCCTCTGCAAGGCAGCTGAGATACAGGGCCCGAGGGAGACCGAGACCTGGGCGCCAGCGCCATGGAGCCAGTGCAGACGCCCACCTCGGGCAGCACCGTGGGTCACCGCGGGCCCTCTTGGGCCTGTTGCCAGGTGACCCCATCTCCTCTCTGCAGGCGGATGCCTCCCCAGAGGAGGCCCTGGACCTGCTGAACCAGCAGCGCTCCCCCAGCACAGGGGACCTCACCTGCGACAGCCGCGCCAACAGCGACTACGAGGACACGGATGGCGAGGGGGGGCCCTACACGGACAACGAGCTGGAGGACGACTATGCCCAGACAGCCCTGGCCCGCTCCTCGGAGCCGGCGGAGCCCCACAACCCAGATGAGCATGTGGCCGTCTCTCTGGCCTGTGCCGCCTCACGGGTGAGCAGGGCAGCGCGGGCAGGGCACTGGGGGGTGCAGGGGTCCGACATTGCCCTGGCCGGTGGCTTCTGGGGAAGGGGGCAGGCGGTCTCTGCCCTGGTCACAGAGGGCATCGCTAACCCCCATCAGAATGGGCACCAAGGGGTCCCATTGTGAGCAGCCTCAGCAGCGCCAGGGCAGCTGAACTCCGCTCTTCAAAGCCCAGGGTGAGGGTGGGCAGGGGAGCCTGGCCCAGCTCTGGCTGTGAGGTGCCCGTTTCAGGGGCAGGTGGGGGCACTCTCCCTGGGGCAGGCAGCAGGCCAGGCGGGCCAGAGGGCTGGTGCTGCCTCTCCGACCGCGGAGCCCCTCCCAGGGCAGTGCCTGGGGCTGCAGCGCCCCCGTCTGGAGCGCTCAGCTCTGCAGCCTCCAACGACTTCCTTCTGATTCCAATAGGATGGAGACCAGCAGCCTCAGGGCCAGTGGAGACAGGATTACAGCAGCATCAGGTACCAGCAGCCTTGTCTCTCCTGCCCCAGCAGGCGTGACACGGGAAGTGAGGGGGGTGGGGGGTGAATCACATGCTCGGAGCATCCTTCCTGCCAGGACTAGGATTGCTAACTTTCTACTTGCACAAAACCTAACACCCTTGCCCCACCCCTGCTCCCGGCTCCAGGTGCAGGCTTCAGGGTGGGGCCAGAAATGAGGGGTTCAGGGTGCGGGAGGGGGCTGGAGTGTGTGTGGGTGGGGTAAGGGCTCCGGCTGGGGCAGGGGATGCGATGCAGGGGGAGGGAAGGGGAGGAGGGACTTGAGGTGCATAAGGGGACTCTGGGCTAAGGCTGTGGGGTTCAGATTGTGGGAGGGGGCTCTGGGCTGGGCCAGGGGATTGGGGTACAGAGGGGGGTGTGAGGGCTCAGGCTGTGGGGTGGGGCTGTGACTGAGGGGTTCGGATTGTGGGAGGGGAATCAGGGCTGGGGCACAGGGGGGTGAGGGCTGGTGGTGCAGGAGGGTGCTGTGGGCTGGGACTGACGGGTTCGGAGGGTGGAAAAGGGATCAGGACTGTGGCAGTGGGTTGGGGTGTGGGAGGGGTCTCAGGGGTGCAGGCTCCGGGCATCGCTTACCTCAAGCAGCTCCCAGAAGCAGTAGCATGTCCCCTCTCTGGTTCCTATGTGGAGGTGCAGCCAGGTGGCTCTGTGCGCTGCCCCATCTGCAGGTGCTGCACCTGCAGCTCCCATTAGCCACAGTTCCCAGCCAATGGGAGATGCAGCACTAGGGCTTGGGGCAGGGGCAGCATGAGGAGCACCCTGGCTACCCCTACGCGTAGGAGCCGGAGGGCGGACATGCCCCTGCTTCAAGGCGCCACACGGAGTCACGGCAGGCAGGGAGCCTACCTTAGCCCTGCTGCACTGCCAACCCAACTTTTAAAGGCCTGGTCAGTGGTGCTGTCTGGAGCCGCCAGGGGCCCTTTCCGACTGGGCGTTCTGGTCGAAAACCGAACAGCTGGCACCCTCGCCAGGACACCAGTTCTGCTCGCTGGCTCTGCTGTCTGAATCCAGTTGTGAGGGGGGTTAATGCAAGTCACTGGATTCCTTTTAACTTTCCCATCCTTCTGGTGGGGTCTGTGGGCTCCGCACAGGCTCAGCGGCAGGGAGGGGAATGTCAGCCAGGGCCAGTTCTGAACCCAAACCAGCCATGGCCTGTGGGCCACTGTGAGCTCTTCAGCCGAGTACCCTGGGGGGGGCGTTCTGCAGCTGCTGTCCCTTCCCCGGCTCCTCAGCCAGGGCCTGATGTGGCATCTTGCTGCCCTGCAGGGAGTACGAACACAACGCTCTGAAAAAGAAGTTCACGCAGGCCCGGGCCTATGACTCTGATGAGGATGAAGGCTACGACTGGGGCCCAGCTACAGACCTGTAGCCACAATGGCTTCCAGGATTCCTCGTTATACACCACCGAGCTGCCTTCTGGGAAGTGCCTGCCAAGCTGCATCGTCCCCTTTCCACCCTGGGCCGGCGAGAGGAGCCCCTGTCCATTCTCACGCGGGGTCGGCTCCCTCCTGCATACCCCCCTCTCCAGAGCGGGGCTGTTTGGTTTTAATCTTCCTGAACACAAGGCTCAGGGCAGCGTGCTGCTGGCTGGCTAGCAGCCAGCCTGAGCTTTTCTCCTGGGCTCCCAGCCTCTGCCCACGTCCTAGGCTTCAACTCTCCTCCGCGTCTCTGCCAGCAGAGCCCAGGTCTCAGCCCTGTCCTAGCTGCCTGCAGTGACGTCAATGTGCCAGCGGCCCTGGCAAGTGCAGCTCTGCCCACTGAGCGTCACCAGGCAGGACGCCCTGGCACCCTGGGTGGTGCTGTAAATAGCTCTGCCTGTGTTTGTAATAAAGGAATCCTTTTCACTAGCCCCTGCTGCCTCTGTATCCCCCGGCGGAGGCGGGGAAGAGGTGGTGGACTGGGCTCTGCTCCGAGCCTCAGTAGAGGAGGCTGGCGAACGAAACGCAGGGCAGCCGTGAGGGAGCATGCCCTGCAGAGGAGGGCGGCAGCGTACCTGTGCTCCCGCCTCGCTGCAAGGGAACCGAATGAAGCCAGGCTGCAGGCAGCTGGCACATCTCGGCCGGGCTAACTGCCTCCCTCCAGCTCAGGGCGCTGTTAGTGCAGCAGCCAACTTTCCTCGTCAGCCGATGGGGCACATCTCTGCACCGTTATTGCACAACTGTGCACACACAGGACAGACAGCTGCTCCTAAAAGCCCGTCCTGAGATGATGTGTGCCAGGGAGCGGCGCTCACGAAACACAGCGTCTGTCACTGAACCAGACACCCCCACAAAGCTCCTAGCCTTAGCCATGGGTCCAGCATCTGGCATGTGGCTGCTGGTGGCCTCTGGGGCTAGATGAACCCTGACTCTGGGAGGTCCCAGGGCTCCCTCCATCTGAGGCTGGAGCTAGGGCAAGCTCTGCCGGCTGATAGGGACACTCTGAGCAGCTGCTCGCCTTCCCCAGCCCTGTGCTGTTCCCTACACCGCCTCCCCTAGGAAGTGGGGGACTCAGCCAGCAATCCCCGGCCAGAGCAGGCCCCAGGACCTCATATGCCCACAGTGCCGTCCTTCCCATGCAGGTCGGTTGCCTGGCATTTCACTTACCCAGTCAGTCCTAGACACGCCACAAACAGCCTTTATTCCTACATCAGCCAGCAGTACAGGTTAAAACGCACAGCCCCGGGCTTCCTGCAGCTGATGGAGCACCCAGGACTCTGATTTAGTCCAGGGGAAACAAGGAGGGTGAGAACAGCTGTTACTGGACCAACTTCTCTTGGACAAATGTTGGTCCAACCTCCCTCACTTTGTGTCTCATGCTGGGACCACCACTGCGATTAACTTAGTACAAGTAGCCTTCCGCAGGGCCAGCCCTGCCTACAGAAACGGCCCAGGGTAGAGGCTCCAGCAGCAGAGTGGGATCGCAGCGAGCCCCTTTCTCCTGTGCTCCCCCACCCAACACACCGTGGCTGGCCAGGTCTCTGCTGCCTGCTTCAGCCTGACGTTCCCCCACGCCCAGTGCTAGGCCCAAGCCAGGTCATGCTGCTCCTGCAGCTTCTCTCAGAACGAGGGCGCAGCTGACCGACCCACCCCACCGTGGGGCCAGCTGGCAGATGAATCTGGCTCTCATGGCAGGGGTTGCAGGCCCAGCCTGGTCCCAGGTGCTGGGGGAGGAGGGGTTACAAACAGCATTAACAAGGCAGAACAGGAAAGCAGAGGGAGTTTCCCCTCACATCCCAGCAGGTCCAAGAGGGGCCGTGTCCATATGGGCAGCACCCCCTCCTCAGCCTGAGCTGGTGTTACACCTGGTATCGCTGGCAGTTTGATGGGCCCTCTCAGGCTGATGGCAGGACAAGGGAGGGAGCGGCCAGGGCTAGGCCTGTCGCCCTTGATCTGTAGTGCAGACTGAGCCGGGATTCAGCAGACACGAGGCAGGATCTTCCTCCTGCAGGCAGCGAGGAGGGGCAGAGCGTGGCACCGGCTCCCTGATGCCCTGCCACTGGCTAGAAAACTCTCTCTGCCCACACAAACCACATCCTGAACAGCCTCCCCTGCAGCCAGGCCCTGCTCCGGCTCCAGCAGGATGCACCGAGTGCGAGCGCCCGTCTGAGCCAGTCGAGTCGCTGCCCTTTGCAAAGCAGGGCAGGGGCCAAACCCTGCCCCCATGGCAACTCCAGAATCTCCTGCCAACGCCTGCGCTGACCCGAGAGCAGGTACGTCCCAGCCAGCCACGCACACGGGGCCAGCTGAGCCAAGGAAGCCCCTGGCATTCTCCAGGGCCCATCCCATCAGCAAGGCCCCGCTCCCCACTGTGTGGCGCAAGCTGGAGACTCCAGCTGAGTGAGCGGAGGCCCAGGAGAGGAGCCAAGGAGTTTGGGTCCCTGACTCTAAGGCCTGGTGCAAAGCCCCTCGTGGTGAGGCCAGGCAAAGCACATCCAGAAGAGGCAAAGGGGGGTTTGCCTTCTGGGTCCCTGCATGAAACAAGAAAAGTGGCAGGATCTGGCCCCCAGCAGGCCCCGAGGGAACTGGAGATGCAGTGACATCCTTTCCTTGTGGGCTGCTGCCCCAGGCCGGGGCCCCAAAGCCACGTAGCTGGTACATGTGCAGAGCCACAGACGGGGTAAATGCAAACTCCACCCTTCAGAGGAAGATGGGCTGCTCCTGGCCTGTCAGTAACCGGTAGGTGGAGGCCGGCATGGTCTTGATATGGACCTAGAGAGATAGAGAATGAATCAGCTGGGAGAGCTCCATACAGAAACACCCACTTGGGCTCAGAGCCCTGTACACGCCACTCATCTGCCCCAGCCTCTCTGGGCCTGGGAGAAGGACCCAGGGGAAATGTTTCATGCTAAAGCACAGTTTAGAGATACTAAAGCACTTTACATGTCCAGGTACTGGCTGCAAGAGTTACTTCTCCCCCGTCTGCTGAAATGCAGCTGCTGCTGGGGTGGAGCTGAGCCACTGGTTTGAACGGGGCACAGCTCCCCGTGAAAAACGCAGGTTAGGACAGGATGTGGAGTTTCTTGCCCAGGCTCAGGGCAAACTCGAAGGCCTGACAGAAAAGACCAACAGTTCTTAGCAGAAGCCTGAACCTGCCTAGGCCTGCAGGGGAGCTCAGGCCAGGTGGCTGGGATTCCCATGCTAACCTGCATTAACCCTGCCAGCAGGCTTAGGGACGGGCTAGGGCAAATAGCCATCACTTTGCCATCCCTACTGCAGCCTCCAAAGCCCTGCAGCAGCCTGTCGCTTTCGAGAGCGAGCTGTGCCCCACCTGGGGCATTAGTTCAGTGCCGGCATGGAGGGATGGCGAATCCTAGGCATCATTTGCTACAGCACCCGCAGTTCCCGAGGGGGCTGTGCTGCCCTGCGGGGGGGAGAAGACGGCAGCTGGTCCCTCCCTAATAGAGTTTGCAGCCCAGGGCATGGAAGATCAGCCCCTGCTTGAGGCTCCAGGTGCAGGCAGAGGAGGAACAGAAGGGGCAGTGAGAGCAGGGAGCTGCAGGAGAAAAGGCTTTGCTCCCAGAGTCCAGTAGGCCGAAGAGGTGTGCTGCTCAGCAGCGTGACGAGGATCCCCTCCCTAGCAGAGGGTGCAGCTTGCAAAGCAGGACTGGGAGTTGAGATGAGCACCCAGGAAATTGTGGGGCTGGGGGCAGTTGGCCCATGTCAGACCCCCCTAAACATAGGGCAGAGGTCTCAGGGTGGGAGTCAGCCCTCCTCCCCAAAACAGGGGAGGGGGTCTGTCCCAAACCAGCCTCCCCAGCTGAGGTAGGGGGCTCAGGGCAGGAGTCTACCCCGTACCTGCCCTTCCCTCCCCGCAGCCAGGGCGGGGGGGATCTGGATGGGGGTCTGCCCTGTATCTGCCCCTCCCGTCCCTGAGCCATGGCAGGGGGCTCAGGGCGAGGGGTCTGCCCCATGCCAGCCCCCCCAATGGGGAAAAGGGCCTGCATGCCCCTGCTGCACTCCCTGGCCTCAGGCCAGCTCACCTCGCTGATGGCCTGTGTTAGGAGCTGGATGATCTTCTCGTGCGGCGTGGCCACCACGCTCTGCCCGTTGATCTCGATGATGCGATGGCCCACTCGGATGCCGCCTCTCTCCGCTATCCCCCCTCGCATCAGGCTGCAGATCTGAATGGCCGGGGGCACCAGTGAGAGCAGGCCAGCCCCCGCCGGCAGCACGCCATCTTCCGCAGCCTCCCCAAGCAGAGCAAATCTTGCCTGCCGGGAGAGCCCATGAAACCCACCCCTGGGCCTGCCCCTCCCGGCACGTTGCGCTCGCCAGCCATCGCGCCCCCTTACTGCTCACTCAGCACCACGTTCCAGCACCCTTCTGCGCCCTGGCAGCTGGGGCTCAGCCCCCCACAGGACCGGCCCTGGAGGCAGCAGGGCTGGGTCACCAGAGTCAAGGTTCCGAGCTGGAGAGTGCCAGAGAGCTGGGGTCCAGGAAAGGCCATGGTCACGGGGGTCCTGGCACAGGGACATCAGCCTGGCAGCTGGTGCCGTGGGGGCAGGGCGAAAGCAGACAGTCTGCGGGCGCTAGGGTAACGCGCCCAGGCCTCGCTGCTCACCCCCTGCTCCCTACCCATGGCACTGACGAGGCCCCGCATGGAACCAGCCCCATCTCTGCCCCTGGGGCTGGGACCAGAGATTCTCTCCCTCTCCTGGGACCCGATGCCCACCGGGGCCACATGCCTGCCGCTCCTTGGGCAGCTGGAAGTTCTCCCCTAGCTCAAGCAGCGCCAGCCAGCGAGCCTGGAGCACAAGAGCCTGAGTTCTCGCCCCAGGTATGGCATCTGTGCTGGCCAGAGGGCCCCTGGCCCTCCCCCCCGCAGTGCCGCGCCCGGGGCTCTCGCCACTCACAATGCCATCCTCCACGCAGAAGCCCAGCGGGTACTTGGAGTCGGGCCGGCGGACGATTGCCGTGGTGACGGGCGGGCAGTGCACGATGCTCAGCGTCACCTCGGTCTGCGATTTCAGGTCCTGCCAGGGGCGGGGCTCATTAGCGCCACAGGGGAATCAGGATCGGCCCAGCCGTGGGGGGGCAGACAGGGGGCAGGTTTACGCCCACTGGCCCCATGACACTCTCTGGGGCCATGTGGGGGAAGGGAGGGCAGAACTGAACACGACCACTGTGCTCTGCACGCCTTACTTGGGGGCGGGTCTAATTACCACCCTCCTTTTATGGGGGGGAAGGGGGAAACTGAGGCATAGTCTTGCCCAAGGTTACACTGCAGGTCAGGGAAAAGAACCCAGGAATCCAAGTCCAGTTTGCCCTGCTCCCACCTCTAGGCCATGCTGCCCTCTGGTGCAGTGCTGAGCTTGTCCGTGTTCTGCTCGGACACCTCCCAGAGGAAGTGTCTCATTGGATGCCCCCAAACGCCTGAGCCTGGAGCTGATCCTCCCAGGGCCAGGGCAAGCTTGAGTCCCACCTGCAGAGGGATCTGAGCAGAACACTGGGAGCCAGGACTCCTGGGTTCCCTGGAGGCAAACTCTTGCAGGCTTAAGTCTGGAAGGTCTCACTGCACCCACGGGGGCTCTTGGGCCCAGCCGGCATCCCAGCAGTGAAGGCTCCAGCCCCTGCTCCACCCCCACCTGGCTGCAGCCCCAGCCCCAGCTTGCACGTCCCTCAACACTGAGCGCGAAGGGCTGAGCGCCTCTGATGGAAAGGTGGCTGCTATCACAGACTAAGGGGCCCAGGAACTGAGTACAGGTCCCCCCCCCACACCCCTCTACACTCCCTCCCCATTCCCACCATCCCCCTCCATTGTCCCTTCTCACTACCCCCGACCCCCAGAACCCCCTCACCATTGTGCCCCACCATCCCCATTGCCCCCTCCTCAGTCCCCCCAGTCCCACCATCTCCATCGCCCCCTTCACAGCCACCCTGCCTGTTTCCTTCCACCTCCCCTCGCCCCCTCTCCACTGTCCCCTGATCCCCGTCACCCCCTCCACAGCCACTCCTGCCCCACTGTCCCCTCACCCCTCCCAACCCCCTCACCCCTCCAACACCCCCTCCTCACTGTCCCCCCAACCGCTTCCCCAGTCACCCATTCCACTGTCCTCCCTCCCCCCCCCGCATCTCCCCTTCCCCTGCTCACCCGGATGATGCTCTGGCAGGTGCTCAGGGGCAGCCCCACCAGACTTGTCCCGTTGACGGACATAAGCCGGTCCCCGATGCTCAGCTCCCCGCACTTCTCCGCAGGGCCGCCATGCATGAGGTTGGCGACGACCACGGTGGGTAGGATGGAGCCCCAGCCCGACTCCACCACAGCGACGCCCAGGATCTCCCCCTTCTGCTTGCGGATGCAGACCTGCAGGCCGGGCGGAACGCAGGGCCCACTGAACTGCGGAGCGGGCGCTGGGGGACCTCGGGGCTGGCGACACCGTGCAGCCGGGAGCTCAGGCTGCAGCAGGCTGCGGTGCAGGCACCAAGAGGAGTGGGTGGCTTGCAGCTACTCCAGACCTGGATCCCAGAGGGTGCAGGTACACCACTGGCAGTAGGGGGCCCCGGAGAGGCTGTAGGGAGCGGGGCCTGGGCACTTGCCCCAGGGGAGCCCCGGCTACTCCAGGCCCGGCTCCCGCAGCAGGGCGCTGGCAGGTTGCAACACAGGAGGCTCCCAACTGCTGCAGACACCAGCAGGAGGCGCTGCAGGGAGCCAAGCTGGAGCACTGGGTGCCAGTGAGCTGATCCCACCCCCGACCCCTGCAGGCAGCTCTTACATCCTTGCAGTTCTCCTGCTTGGAGAAGTGGGCCAGGTCCCCGTTGTGCAGCTCCTGGCTCTCCAGGGCGCGGCTGTCCTGGCCAGGGGAGAGTTGGCTCGGGTCGATGCCGCTGGCCTGCAGCAACTGCTGGTATGCCACGCTGAAGGCCTGCCCGATGGCCTGGGCAATCAGCTGAGCCTGCAGGAGGAAGTGTCCCGAGGTTACCCCGGCAGCGGGGCGCTGGGCCCCAAGCGCCTGTGGGTACAGGGCTCCACCCTCCAACACCCCCAGCACCCGGGAGCCTGGGCAGTGCCAGGGGGTCAAAGCCAACCCATCTGCCATCCTGCTAGCCTGTCTGGGGCACAGCCAAACACTGCTACAGCAGCTGCAGAGAACCTGGGATGTATTGCGGGGCGGGGGTGGGACCGACACTTCCAACCCCTTCTATGGACAGATACCCACACACCTCTCCCCTCCCCTCCCCTCCCCAGGTGGGGCCCCCTTCACAGCACAGACACCCTCATGCCTCTCGCCTCCAAAGATCCTTCCCCCCCAGCCCTGGCTTTCTCCAACAGTACAAAGGACCCCCCACCCTACCCACTCTCCAGGTGGCTCTTTCCTGTCTCCGAGCTAGACCCGAGGCAGCTGGAGATGGGGGTGAGCGAGCTCCCAGGCACAAGGCCCAGCACAGCGGCAGGGAGAAATGCAACTGAAACGCCTCACGGAACAGCAACACCTGGAGGCCAAGCTGAGAACCCCCAGCTCATGACGCCTACTGGGCTTCGGGTAGGACTGGGATCTGGAGCTCCAGGCTCGAAGCCTGCGTAAAGCCAACGCGCAATGCTCCACCCCCTACCCCGTCCCGCCCAGACTCACGTCCGCAGAATGGAAGACGTGGCAGATCATCTTGTAGAGCCGCTTCTCCTGCGAGGTGTCTGCCCGCCGCGGCAGCTTCCTGCGCGCCATCAGCACAATGATGCTGCCGATGTCCGCAATGTAGGAGATGGTCTGGAGCGGATGGTCCATCATGGCCTCCTGAGGGAGGGGGCATGAGAAATTCAGGGGTGGTCTCAGTGGACAGCTGGAGTGCCAGCGGGATTATGGGAGCACAGCCTCCAAGCCAGGGGAGCCTGTTAACCGAGAGGAGGGAAGGGTTCTTCACGGCCTGTTAAAAACCCTGGGGCTCTAGTGGCTATTTCACTCAAACGCCAGCCACACCGTTGGGAGAACACCCATCTGAGTTACAGGTTGGACACGCCTTCAGCCAAGGACTCCTGAGCCACTCATAAGAACGGCCATACTGGGTCAGACCAAATGTCCATCAAGCCCAGTATCCTGTCCTCTGATAGTGGCCAATGGCAGGTGCCCCAAAGGGAATGAACAGAGCGGTTATCATCAAGTGATCCATGCCCTGTCACCCAATCACAGCTTCTGGCAAACAGAGGCTAGGGAAACCATTCCTGCCCATCCTGGTGAATAGCCATTGATGGACCTATCCCCCATGAATCTATCTAGCTCCCTTTTGAACCCCGTGATAGTACTGGCCTTCACAACATCCTCTGGCAAGGAGTTCTAGAGGTTGACAGTGTGTTGCGTGAAAAGATACTTTCTTGTGTTTGTTTTAAACCTGCTACCTATTAATTTCATTTGGTGGCCCCTTGTTCTTGTATTATGAGAAGGAGTAAATAACACTTCCTAATTTCCTTTCTCCACACCACTCATGATTGTATAGACCTCTATCATATTCCCCCTCAGTCGCTACTTTTCCAAGATGAAAAGTCCCAGTCTTATTAATCTCTCCTCACACGGAAGCCATTCCATACCCCTAATCATTTTTGTTGCCCTTTTCTGAACCTTTTCCAATTCCAATGTATCTTTTTTGAGACAGGGCGACCACATCCGCACACAGTATTCACGGTGTGGGTGTACCATGGGTTTCTATAGAAACCATACGATACTTTCTGTCGTATTATCCATCCCTTTCTTAATGATTCCCAACATTCTGTTCGCTGTTTTGACTGCCGCTGCACATTGAGTGGATGGATGACTCCTGTGGGTCGTGCAAGGAGACCTCCAGCAAAGCCAGCAGAGACCTGACTGCACATGCCCGATGGTTACACAGGAGAATACGAATCCTCCCCGGCTTTCTCTATCCATCCAGTGAAACTGCCGCGTAACCCTGCCTGGACGCTCATGCTGAGATTGACACCTCTTGTGTACTGATGTTGTTTAGCTCAGTAATCAATCAAGAGAAGCCAGGTTTAGATTAATTTAGGAGCAAGCCCAGGAGGCTCTGTAGCAGTGGAGCACTGAACACAGAGGAGGCCTAAGGTGGAGGCACCAACACTCTGGGGGCTCCGGAAAAAAAACAGACTCCTGAATCAGTGCCTCCCTCTCCCTCCCAGCACCTCCCCAGGCGTTGGGGGAGAGGGGGCGGGAAGAGGCGGGGCGGGAGCTTGGGGGAAGGGGTGGAGTGGGGGTGGGGCCTGGGGAAAAGCACCCTGTGGCACATTAGAAAGTCGGCGCCTCTGGCCTAAAACCCAATTGGTTTTCCCTTTACATGTAAACTTTTAACTGCTGCTGGGTCCACCCCAGAGGTGGCTGCATTTTGGCAGCAGCTGTGCGATCCCCACTGATGCCAGTGGATCCTCCAGGAGGAAAGGCCTCTTTACCCAGGTGGGGTCACAACCCCAGCACACCTGCACCACGTACAATCGATCGCCTTAGGCCAGTTCCCTGCACGGGCCAAGTGCCCTGATCCGAGCTGGAGGGGGTGGGGTGCACAGAAGGTGACGTCCCAAGGCCGGGAGAATTCTAACAGAAACAAGCCCAGTTCTCCTAGCACAGGTGACCCACCCCCTGTAACAACATCCCCTGTCCTACACACCTGCGAGTCGGCCGTCAGGACCTTGATCCTCTGGGTGGAGACAAACAGATCCACCTCGGTCATGGGCTGGGACTCCCCCTCCGGCGCCTGCAGCATGGTAAGGACAAAGCACCCGTGTGCGTGGTCACCAGTAGCCCCAAGGCAGAGGCTCAAAGCAAGGGACTTGGAGCCAGGACTCCTGGGTCCTATTTCCAGCTCTGCCCTAACTCTCTCTGTGACCAGGAGTGAGTCACCACTCCTCTCTGTGCCTCCGTTTCCCCTCAAGGAGCAATGGGTCTCCATGAACATGCAGTCTGGGGTGCTGGGATGGGCGATGGGGTACTAGAATTCACAGCCCATTGGAATGCCAGAGCTGGCTAGCAGCAGCTAACGTGACAGATTGTGTTTGCCTTGTCTTCCTCTACCCGATCTCTGAATGACTCCTGTCAAGAGCAACCCTCAGTGAGCACTTTACAGACAGCCCGCGCAGGAGGAATCAATCAGCTTCTTTTTACAGGTGGGGAAACTGAGGCGCAGAGACACCAGGCCTGGCCTAGTGTCACCCAGTGGAAGAGGTGGGACTGGAACTCAGGCCTCCTGACTCCCTGGCCTGTGCTTTGACCACTGCTTCCTCCCTCTCGCCTCTCTGCATCCCACTTCTGGAACCCTGTTCGAATCAAACCTCCCCACTGATCCCCCCCACACCTTCCACCCAGTCTAGCGAGTGGGAGCTCAGCTTCCAGCTGCAGCCAGACCCAGGAGTGACCTGCTTTCACTGTTCTTCACACCTGCTCCCTGCAGCCTACAGGTCTAAGTATAAACAGAGCTACGCACCTCGGAGAAGTCAGCAGCACCCTCTTCTGGAGTGGGGCCCCGGAAAATGGGGGGGGTCCCTATTTTTTCACCCACCAGTCAAAGCTCAGCTGCTGGCTGCAATGGCAGGGGTGGGCAAGAACCTGATGCAAACACAGGCATCGGCTCGTGACATGCTCAGCTTTGCCCCGCTGCAGCCGAGGGAACGGACAAGGATCCCACCCTCGGGGCCCACACTTCCCTCGACCTGCTTATGTGCCAGGCCAGCCCAGTGAGCCCGGGAGCCACCTGCGACGGGCGCAGGGTGGGGAGGACAGAGAGCAGAGGAGGATGCACACTGTGCTCTGGGCATGGGAGAGGGCACCTCCTTGGCTGCATCGATGGGGGCACCGTGGCTGGGCAGTCCCAGACAGCTGGGCTTTGGCTCCTGGCGGGTGAAAATCAACTAGTGCGAGGAGCTCATCTCAGCAGCCTCTGCCCCCTGGGCTGGATGCTCCTGAAGAGATGCAGGCGGCAGTGCCGCCCCGAGGGGACCGGCTCGCACGGACTAGTGACCGCTCAGTTCACCCGGCGCCCTCACCCACCTTTATCCTGTCCACGGCCTCCTGGGCCTGCGCCATGCGGACGCTGGCAGGGGGGTTCCTCTCCGAGACCAGCTGTGTAGAGCCTAGATACTTTGCTCCGAAGATCACTCCATCCAGGAGATCCTCCGGCTCACAGGGGCCTGCCACTGAGAAGCCAGGGGCAGGTATCAGCAAAGGCAGGGCCTCCCTGCTCCTCCCCTCCCTGCAATGCCCATGGCCTGAGACACCGGTCTGGAGCCAGACCCAGCAGCTGCTGACTGCGGATGTGGGGGGACATGGCCCCTCTCAGCAGCCTTTTATCCGGGGGACCAGGTCACCCCAGGCCTCAGCAGGGCATGATTCCCATCTCGCTCCCCCCGTTTAAAGCTGGAGCACCCCCTGGAGCCCCAGCATTCTTGCAATGAGCGAGATCAGCCCGGGCACGGTGCCCCCTGCTTTACAGGCCTGAGCCCCCCGTGGGAAAAAGTCCAGCGCGTGCCCCTCTGCGGAGCATGGATAAGCTCCCCTCTCGACACAGAGACCTGCATCCAGCCAGGTCCGGGCAGCGGGGCCAGGGCCTAGCGAGGGCCAGGCCTGAGCAGCAGCAGACACCACCAGAACCGGCGTTTCAATCCTGGCTCTCACGCCCCTCCCAAGGCAGCTCTCCGTTACCCACCGCCGCTGAGCTCCCTGCAGGCACTGCCCCATTCCGAGGCGCCCAGATCTCGTGGGGGGAGCTGCAGGGGAGTTGGATCCGTCCCCAGCCGGGTATCCTGCATCACCTGCTGCCTCCTCCGTAGGGCTGGGAAGGCCAAGCCCCCTGTGGCATCTCCTTGTCCTGCATGTGCCACGTCGGCAGCCCCAGAGGCTGATGGCACCAATAGTGGCCGGCCAAGTGCCCCCAGCCCCCCCCCCCACACACACATGCCTGAGCCGGAGCCACCCCTTCCTTGAGCAAAGGGGAGTGCAGCCTCCTCGACCTCCCTGCTGCGGCTGCCCTGGGGGACCCCAGTCACAGGCAGCCACAAGAAGGTTTACACAGCGTGGGGACCCGACTGAGACCCTCCAAACTCGTGTCACATAGGCCACAACAGGTCACTTGTGACTAGAGCAGGATTCGAACCAGTGTCCTCAATCTGGTCCCTCTCCCAGGACTTGGCAGCCAGAAAGCCTTCCTCCCATGAGCCAGGGCAGTGAAAGACACGCCCCCGCCCTTCATAAATCCCCTCCCCTTTCTGGCTGGGCTGGGCCGGCCTGCCATGCACTAGCCACACAGCACCCAGGAGGGGCTGCCACTCACACGGCGGCCCACGGGCTGGTGGTCAGAGCAGGTGACAGGGAAGCAGGACGCCTGGGTTCTATCCCTGTTACAACTGGACGAGTAACTCACCCTCTTTGAAGGCCGGATAGGCCGCCTGGGATTCTTTAACCTACAAAGCAACCATGAGAGCAGTGAGTGTCAGCACCCAAGGGGACGCAGACGCCGGGACGCCTGCCGGCCACCTCCAGCCAAGTCTCCAGTGATGGGCACAAGACCTAACTAACCCCCAAGCAGCAGCCAAAGAGGAACCGAGAGCAGCAGCAGGACAAGGCCAGAGGGCTCAGTGTTCTGGGTGCGAGGGGCAGAGGAAGGGGCGAGCCAGGGATGCTGAGGTCGGTGGGCAGCTGCTGCCAGGGTGGAGGCCTCTGGGTTAACTCAGCAGCCTGGGATCGGCCAGAGCCGTGTGAGCCCCAGCAGGGATGCAGGACGGTCAAGCTGCTGGGAAGCCTGGGTAGGGGATGTTCTGGGGAAAGGGCTGGAGGGGGGCAGGGACTCCAGTTGGTACCCGCTGCCAGCCCATCATGCAGCACCCCCAGAACCGCTCTTCCCATGCCAGACCCTCCGAGGCCAGTGCCATCTCAGCTCGCAGTGGCCGGATGTGTGAGACTCCCACGCACACAGTGGAGAGCAGACCTTGTCCCCGGCCCTGAGAGGGTCCAGACCTACCCCAACCCAGGCTCTGGGCTTCGGCAGCCCCTACACATGACGCTGGGCCCCTTGCTTGGCTACAAGGTAACAATGCGTGTCAGCAGCCCCTCGACCTGCCGGCTGCCCTCGGGAACGCCTCCCCCATACCCCACACATGGCAGGGAGCCAGGGGCAGCTGCTCTCCGCATCCTGCTCCCCTCCACCACCCCGCCCCCCGGCCTGGGGACGGCCGGCAGCGACTCTTGTGCCAAGGGCTGACCCCCAACCACCCCGCGTAGCCGTTGACACGGGGATCTGTCAGAGCGCTCAGCTCCAGGCCTGGCATCGAGGTAGCTCAGAGCCCCACCCAATCCCAGGGCCCCCCAAGACAAGGTGCCCGGGGCCAGACCTCCAGCCAGCATGCAAAGCACTCACAGCTGTGCTCCTGGGGGAGGGCTGCTCCAGACCCTGGCTGGGAGGAGGGGACATGGCCACCCACACGGGCTCTGGGGAGCTGTCCCAACTGCCCGGGGACACACAGGCAGAGTCTCTCTCGTGGGCTCCCCCTCTCCGATACCACCGGCAGGAGCCTTCTGCCTGCGAGCTGCCTGGCTGTGAAGCGGCCTCCTCCGCCTGCTGGGCCACTGGGCTCTCCTGACACTGCAGGACCTCCCCGTCGCTCCCAGCCAGGATGTCTGACCTGGCGAGGGGGGTCTCCTCAGTGGCCTCCGCTGGGAGCCCCCCCTCATGGTGCAGGAGGCTTAGCAAGTCCTCCCGGTCAGCCTCTGCAAAGAGCAGGCCATGGCTCTCCTGGCTCCTCCGGGAGCAGGCGGAGGGCTGAGCATGGCAGGGCTGCATTGCCAGGCCTCTCCCCATGGCAACGTGCAGCAGGCAGGGAGGGCACTCGCCCAGCAGGCCCCGGCAGCCGCCAAAGGCCCGTTTGTGGGGAAGTGCTGCGTCTCCCCCAAAAGGGCCTGCGCCACAGTCCGACGCCAGCAGCGGGTCGTCCTCCAAGGCAGGCAAGTCGTCGTGGAAGCTGGGGCTAAGGATCTGGAGCTGGGCAAGGAGGCCCTGGATCTCCAACTGGTCGTCATCCTCCACACTCTCGGCCCACTCCTCCCCTCTCAGGTGGGCCTCAGGCTCCTCATCCAGGTCCATGCAAACCAGGTCACCCTGCTCCGTGCTGGCCGGGACTCTGGGACAATCCACCCCCGGGTGGGCTCCCTCTGGGTTCCCTTTCCAGTCAGCATCGCTCCCAGGTGCTGCAGTGTCCTCGCAGTCTTCCATCCCCCCTCCCAGGTCCCTGCAAGCATCATCACGTGCTTCCCCAGCTGCCTGGAGGGCTGAGTCAGGAGCAGCTGCGGGGCCGGGGGTCTGCAGGCCCCTCAGAGGGCTTTCGGGGACAGTCGGCTCTGCGATGGCTGCACCAACAGACAGTTCAGCCTCAGCTGCAGAGGGGTTGAGGTTGGAGCGCAGGGCACTGAAGGGGGATCCGGGCTGCTGCAGGCTGCGCAGGCTTTGTTCACAGGCCGTTGGTATGGCCAGTGTTGGCGAGGCCCCTTCCTCCAGGTCCATGGCTGGAGGCTCCAGGAGCTCCCCGGGAAGGTTGTGGCTGCCAAAGCCAGGCCCCGGGTGCACATCGGTTTGGAAGTCCATGCCGTTGTCCATCACAGTCGCTCCTGCCCAGGTGGGGGAAGAAGAAACTCGCCCTACACTGAGAACAGAAGGAAAGAGGTATTGGAGGTTAGACATGGGCAGGACTGAAAGTAAGAGCAGAGACAGCTTCGTAGACCAGATCCTCACAGAGCTGCCCTGAGTCAGGCCCGCGGAGGATCCAGCCCCTGGTCTTCTGGATGGAAATCAGCAGCGGAGGCTGGGCAGGGCTGAATTAACAAAGGCAGCTGCAAAGCTGTTCCTGCCATTGCAACCCATAGGGAGCAGCCGTGTGGAGTCTCCCACGCCACGGACCTCAGGCCCAGATCTTCCGCGGCAGTGAGGATTGAAATCAGTGGGAGTAAGGTGCGGGCTGGCACTCAGACTGTGCTGGGCAAATCTGAAAACCCACATCAGTCTCTCTGATGCACTGCACGTTACACTCATCAATGACCGAATCTCACAGGGCCCTCCTCGGAGGCTGGCTAATCTCACTGTCCCTAGTTTACAGAAGGGGAAACTGAGGCACAGAGCCATTAAGGCTGACATTTTGCAAAGGTGGCCATTGACACTGGGAGCCCAAGCTGATTATTTCAGAGGTGCTGAGCCCCCTCGATTCCCGCTCGGAGCTGTGGGCGCTCAGCACTTCTGAAAAATCAGCCCCCTTCCAGGTCTCTCAAGTTGGGCACCCAAAGCCAGTAGCCTCTTGTGAGAACTCTGCCCTAAGGGACTTGCCCAAGGTCAGGCAGTGAGTCAGTGGCAGAACCAGGAACAGACCCCCCAGGAGTCCTGACTCACAGTCTGGTGCCCTGAGACCACATTAACAATTCTCGCTTTAGTCCCTCTCCAAACATTATCCACTGTCTAACCTGAAGAGGGTGGGCGCTTCCTTGCCTGCAATGGGGCTCAACCCCCGCTCTTGGTACTGCTGCAAGGAATCCAGCCCCAAGGTTCGTGCAGGAGACTCATAAAAAACTCCTTCTGAAGAGCTATTATGTCCTCCTCTGCTGGGCAGTATTCCCCAGAATCAGTTGCTTTCCCCTGGAGGGCGGGGATCCACAGATGTACACTGAGATGCTGGGAAGCACCCTCAGACCCCAGCAGGACAAGGCTGGAGGTCACCATGCACAGATCAGTGGCTGCTTCCTGTGTCTCTCCCAGCAGCTGTGCTGAGAATGCTGAAATCGCCCCCCCCCCCCACAAAGTCTGCTTCCCCTCTGTCAGATCCCGGAGGTAGAAATGTCACAGCCCCCTAGGACCCCCGCATGCCCCCTCACACTGCTTACATTGCACGTTAACATCTGACACACAAACAGGGAGGCCTCAATCAAGAATCACAGGTTTCAGAGTAACAGCCGTGTTAGTCTGTATTCGCAAAAAGGAGGACTTGTGGCACCTTAGAGACTAACCAACTTATTTGAGCATGAGCTTTCGTGAGCTACAGCTCACCACTGAAGTCCATGGAGCTGCTCCTGATTTACACCTGCATCACTGAGAGCAGAATCTGGCCCCATAACCACAATCTAGCCTTACAAAATTACTTACTGCCCCAACACAAGGGGGTTTCATTAGATTGGGGAGTAAAACCAACTAGCTAGGCCCCAATTTTGCAATCAGACGCTTCTAGGCTTCCACCCCCAGGAGCTGCCAGGGCACCGACTTCATTGCAGCTCCACTGGGGCAAGGGGGGCCGACTGCAGGATCTGAGTCGCTAAGGTGATAAAAGGTGGGCAACTAACTCCTGTGGCTAGTAAGTTGCCCACTTTTTGACGATGCCTGGAGCATCATGACTAGCGAGCCACATCTCGCTGGGGAGGGACAGCTCAGTGGTGTGAGCATTGGCCTGCTAAACCCAGGGTTGTGAGTTCAATCCTCCAGGGGGCCGTTTAGGGATCTGGGGGCAAACACTGGGGACTGGCCCTGCTTGGAGCAGGGGGTGGGACTAGATGGCCTCCTGGGGTCCCCTCCAGCCCTGGTATTCTGTGATCTCCCAGCAGTCCCCATGTAATGCGCAGACCGGATCCCCTCGTTCCGGGCCAAGCCCTTCCACGGATGCAGCCAACTTATTTCCACGGAGCTCCTGCTTTGACTCCCCCCTTTCCGGGGCTGAAGGCCAGGAAGGGGATGCCCCGGATCGGCCGGGCAATGCTGGCCCCAGGACGGGGCCAGGGGAGCACTGGCCACACGCCGGCCTGGCGGCGCGAACTTACTTCCAAGAAAGTTTCAGCAACTCCGGGAGACGCAGCGGCGCAGGAACCCGGGGTCAGTTAACTCTTGCCGCGCCGCAGCCGCCCCAGGCGCCCCCCTCCTGCCCGCAGCTGCCCTTGATGTGGCTGCGGAGCGAAACTTCGCTCGCCCCCGAGCCCCTCCCTCCCGCTTCCAGCCGCCCGGGGCTCGTCCCCTCCACCGAGCATGCGTGGGCCCCGCAGGCTGCTGGGGGATGTAGTTCTGGGCCGGGCCGCGCAGCGCCGAGCACGCGGGGCGCTGCTGGGGGATGTAGTTCGGAGGCGCAGTTCCCAGGCCCCTCCCCGCGGTGTCGGGGGCCGGGCGCTGCAGAGCCGCTGGCGGTGCCGAGGGAGCCCAGGTGTCCCGTTCTATGGGGACAGCCCCCATACCTGGTGCTTCGTCTTATTTGGGCACCTAGAGCCCCCCCCCACCGCCTGCCCCGATGGTTTACACTTGCCGCCTGATCACCCTGGCGGTGTCGATCCGGAGGAACAAGGGAAACCAGCGAGAGACGATCTTTGTCCTTCGACCCCATTCCTGCAAAGCTGCGAGCAGGGTCCTAACTGTGCCTACACGGCTCAGGTGGGGGGGGGGGGTGTCCCCTGCCCCCCAGTTTCCCACCACAGCAGGGTGCAAACAGGAAAGCGAGCTGCGGCTCCGTGCTCTGCGGAGGAACCCCCAGCCCTCAGCCGGGGCCCTGGAAGCGCTGTTGGCTGACAGGGCTGCCCCCGGCTCTGGGTGGTGGGAAATGTACATTCCCTGGCCGCGCACTGGAGAGCTGTCTACATGGTTCTGTCCTTCCCCACCCCTGCGCAGAGCTGGTCTAGTGAGGTTTCCAATGCCCCCTCCGGCTGGGCAACTGAGAGCCTGTACACCCATTAGCACCCCCCTGCCAGCCCACAGCCAGCAGCCGCGCTAGCAGCTCCTGGACCAGGGGGACACTCAAAGCCCTCCATGTGGGTAGGTAGCTCCCTGTCACCCAGCTGGTAGGATGAAAGCCAGGAGAGAGCAGTTTCTGCCGAGCCTTGGCTGATACCTGGTGAGTGCTGATCTCCGTAAGTCTCTCCCACAAAGCTGATCAGTTTTATTTTCCGTGTCACACTCGGTGCTGTCTTTAGACATTTCAGTTGCTCCTGATGGAAATCAGAGGAAGTGATTGTACATAGCTCTGATTCTCAATCAGAAAATAAAACATGTTTTCTTTCTTAAATTAGTCTACGGGGAATGACTGCCTAGGAAGGAGTACTGTGGAAAGGGATCTGGGGGTCAAAGTGGACTACAAGCCAAATATGAGTCAACAGTGTAACGCTGTTGCAAAAAAAGCAAACATCATTCTGGGATGTATTAGCAGGAGTATTGTAAGCAAGACAGGAGAAATAATTCTTCTGCTCTGCTCCCCGCTGATTAGGCCTCAACTGGAGTATTGTGTCCAGTTCTGGGCACCACATTTCAGGAAGGATGTGGACAAATTGGAGAAAGTCCAGAGAAGAGCAACAAAAATGATTCAAGGTCTAGAAAACATGACCTATGAGGGAAGATTGGAAAAATTGGGTTTGTTTAGTCTGGAGAAGAGAAGACTGAGAGGGGACATGATAACAGTTTTCAAGTATGTAAAAGGTTGTTACAAGGAGGAAGAAGAAAAATTGTTCTTCTTAACCTCTGAGGATAGGACAAGAAGCAATGGGCTTAAATTGCAGCAAGGGAGGTTTAGGTTGGACATTAGGAAAAACTTCCTAACTGTTAGGGTGGTTAAGCACTGGAATAAATTGCCTAAGGAGTTATGGAATCTCCATCATTGGAGATTTTTAAAAGCAGATTAGACAAACAGTTGTCAGGAATGGTCTAGATAATTAGTCCTGCCCCGAATGCAGGGGACTGGACTAGATGACCTCTCAAGGTCCCTTCCAGTTCTATGATTCTATGGACTCTTGAGACTTTCTACAATTCCTGGAGGGCTCTTTCTTAATCCTACAAGGCTGTTACAGCCTTAGAACATAAGAACGGCCATACTGGGTCAGACCAAAGGTTCATCTATCCTGTCTTCCGACAGTGGCCAGTGCCAGGTGTCACAGAGGGAATGAACAGAACCGGTAATCATCAAGTGATCCATCCTGTCGCCCATTCCCAACTTCTGGCAAACAGAGGCTAGGGACACCATCCCTGCCCATCCTGGCTAATACCTTGGAACAGGTTTCTTTATTAACTTCCTTAATATTTGAGTAAGCCCTTGAAAATGACATTGTTTAGAGGGCAAATTTTCTACATAAAATTTAAGACATATAGTGTCACTTTATATTTTAAGACACGGTTAATAATCATCCAGCTGCGTCACTGTAGATACATACTCAGGATTCCTGTATTACATTATGGAACTGAACAGTTTCCAGAAGCTAAAACAGGCTTTTAGATCAGTCATTTGTAAATGCATTGTATAAACAGATTACAATGGTTAAGACTTTCTTTCTAATTACTGGCTATCTTAACAGGAAAAGAAAACACTTTTCCATTAGAAAAAGGTGATAACTTTTATCTACCTTCAGGTGTGTCAGAGCTGATAGGAAACCTATGTTGGCAAATCTGTTGTAATATTTTCTTTCCAATTATCACTTTAAAAGCTTTTTGTCTTTCTTTTTTTTTAAGCTAGTGCCAAAACAAATTTGTTTTCTAATTTGTTAGTTATTCCATGTTTTAGAAGAATGTTTGAGAGGAAACTCAACTACTTTAGACTTCATAACTTTTTAATGAGAAATGAGATATACAAAGTAAGAGTGCATGTATTTTCTTGCTTATATTTTTCCAGACGATAATATAAATTAAAATTAAAAAGTGCGTGGGTGTTTGAGGGTGATTGGTGTGAGGTTATAAGGACAATTGTATTTAGTAAATATTCTGTATTCATTTTATTTACCAATTAAAGTTATTAATTCTTGTACTAAGGCTCCAAAACTGACATAGGGAAGTAAATGCAAAGTAATGCACATTGGAAAACAAAATCCCAGCTATACAAATGATGGGGTCTAAATTAGCTGTTACCACTCAAGAAAAAGATCTGGGAGTCATCGTGGAGAGTTCTCTGAAAACATCCACTCAATGTGCAGCTGCAGTCAAACAAGTCAACAGAATGTTAGGAACCATTAGGAAGGGGACAGATAATAAGACAGAACATATCATGTTGCCTCTATACAAATCCATGGTATGCCCACATATTGAATTCTGCATGCAGATCTGGTTACCCCATCTCAAAAAAGATATATTGGAATTGGAAAAGGTACAGAAAAGGGCAACAAAAATGATTAAGCACAGGTTCTCAAACTTCATTGCATCGCAACCCCCTTATGACAACAAAAATTACTATACGACCCCAGGAGGGGGGCCGGAGTCTGAGCCCACCCAAGGCCCACTGCCCCAGGCGGGAAGGCCAAAGCCCAAGGGCTTCAGCCCAAGGCGGGGGGCCTGTAACCTAAGCCCTGACACTCAGGGCTGAAGCTGTCGGGCTCGAGCTTCAGCCTCGGGCCCTAGCAAGTCTAACGCCAGCCCTGGCAACCCCATTAAAATGGGGTCGTGACTCACATTGAGGTGCTGACCCACAGTTTGAGAACCACTGGATTAGGGGGATGGAACAGCTTCTGTGTGAGGCGAGATTAAAAAGACTGGGACTTTTCAGCTTGGAAAAGAGACGACTAAGGGGGGATCTGAGAGAGGCCTATAAAACTTGACTGGGGTGGAGAAAGTGAATAGGGAAGTGTTATTTACCCCTTCTCATAACACAAGAACCAGGGGTCACCCAATGAAATTAATAACGCAGCAGATTTAAAACAAAAGGAAGTACTTTTTCACATAACGCACAGTCAATTTGTGGAACTCATTTCCAGGGGATGTTGTGAAGGCCGAAATTATAATAGGGTTAAAAAAAGAACTAGATAAGTTCCTGGAGGATAGGTCCATCAATAGCAATTAGCCAGGATGGGAAGGGATGCAGCCCCATGCTCTGAGTGCGACAGTGTCCTTAGCCTCTGTTTGCCAGAAGCTGGTAGTGGAGGACAGGGGATGGATCACCCGATGATTGCTTGTTCTGTTCATTCTCTCTGAAGGACAGGACACTGGGCTAGATGGACCTTTGGTCTGACCCAGTATGGCTGCTCTTACGTTCTTATGATACCTCAAGATTTGGAATTGGGAATAACTTGGTGTATTATCTCCTGATTGTTCTAAATTTACATATAAACTTAAAATATGACTTTAACTGGTGTTTGTATATATTTTTTCTTTCTTTATATAGGAATTAGATACAATGCTCCTGTCAGACAATTTCTAAGTTATCTGCAAAAAACCTAGAGTTTATAAAAAGACAAGGAGTACTTGTGGCACCTTAGAGACTAACCAATTTATTTGAGCATGAGCTTTCGTGAGCTACAGCTCACTTCATCGGATGCATACCGTGGAAACTGCAGTAGACATTATATACACACAGAGACCATGAAACAATACCTCCTCCCACCCCACTGTCCTGCTGGTAATAGCTTATCTAAAGTGATCATCAAGTTGGGCCATTTCCAGCACAAATCCAGGTTTTCTCACCCTCCGCCCCCCCTCCCCCACAAACTCACTCTCCTGCTGGTAATAGCCCATCCAAAGTGACCACTCTCTTCACAATGTGTATGATAATCAAGGTGGGCCATTTCCTGCACAAATCCAGGTTCTCTCACCCCCTCACCCCTCTCCAAAAACCACACACACAAACTCAGTCTCCTGCTGGTAATAGCTTATCCAAAGTGACCACTCTCCCTACAATGTGCATGATAATCAAGGTGGGCCATTTCCAGCATAAATCCAGGTTTTCTCACCCCCCCACCCCCACACACACAAACTCACTCTCCTGCTGGTAATAGCTCATCCAAAGTGACCACTCTCCCTACAATGTGCATGGTAATCAAGGTGGGTCATTTCCAGCACAGATCTAGGCTTTCTCACCCCCCACCCCCCACACACACACACACACACACACACACACACACACACACACACATAAACTCACTCTCCTGCTGGCAATAGCTCATCCAAACTGACCACTCTCCAAGTTTAAATCCAAGTTTAACCAGAACGTCTGGGGGGGGGTAGGAAAAAGCAAGGGGAAATAGGCT